TTTCCGTGGTGGTCGTGGTCGTACATCTTTAGGTGGTCGTGGTTTCTATGGCCAACAAAATTTTTGTGCACAAACACAGGGTCCTCAGCTCAATCATGCGAATGGTAATATCTCCTTTAATTGTTCCGATATTATTAACATCACTACTTCTAATTCTAAGAATTTTGCTTGTAACTCGGCCTCTAATGGGATATTGGGCTTTTGTCCATCTACAATTGTTTGTCAACTTTGTTTTAGTCCAGGTCACACCGCTGCATTTTGTTCCCGTTTTCTTTCTCAAGGGGGTACTCCAGGTTCAGTTTCAAGTCCTTACACGGCTCCATCGTTTGTTGCTATGTCTCATGGCGATGCTAATGAGGTCTTGTGGTATCCAGATTCCGCCGCGTCTTCTCATATGACACCATTTGAAGGTATATGACAATTTCGAATGATAACTTTTACCTTCTGAATTTATCTACTAATTTCAATGATAATACTCACGCTCATTTTCATGAATCAAGAAGTTGGATTATTTTGTGCATTGGTATCTTTTTTTTTTTTAAATCGCAAATATCAATAGCTTTTTCACCTGCCTTATTTTGACATATCCCTCCAAGTTGAGCACTATTTTCATTGCTATGGAATTTAGATTTGTTTATACAATAGTATCTGACAAAATTTGCACATGGATTGTTCTGATATCATACTATCGATCTCTTCCTCTATACGAAAACTTTGAAATAACAATGAGAATTGAAGGTTATAATTCAATAAATTAGCAAGTATTATGTTCTTTGTATATCAAACACTTTCTTTAGTCATTTTATCACAATAATGAGTCAACAAGCAGAGTGTCATGAGGCAACTTACTTAAATGAGTAAATGATCAGTCCAGCAACAACAACAACGTATGTAAGATAAAACAACCATCTTACCAAGAATAAATTCAGTAAATGATGAATCAGAACGTATTAAAATAGCTTGAGATCAAGGATATTAATTTGATAGTGAAGATGGAACCTGTTGCTTGTAGAAAAAGACTCGACTAAGCACTAATCACATGTTAGTTGTCGAGAGGGAGAGATCGTACAGAGCGGCTCCACTCAAATGCATGTTAGGGAAGGTAATTTCTGCCCATACTCATTTACTCATCCGGCCCGTCTATCACTTGGCCCGCTCAAAACTCACACATTTAGTTAAATGGGTGTAATTGGACAGGTTCATTTTAATCCACACTAAACGGGTACTAAATGGGCGGTGTATATTCGCCCATTTGCCCGCCCGCGTTCCCAAAAGCAAAACCTAGAACCCCGTCACCCGTAAATCTCTTCCTCTTTCTCTCTGGCGGCTAAGCTCCCATGTTTGCTATATCCACTTTCAAACAGTAATTTTGGGAGTTAGATTGTCGAAAATGCCCTTTTGATGTTGAGGGTATTTCTGGAATGGACTTGGCTTGTTTTGGTTTGGGAGAAGGGCAATTTAGTCCTCACACACCCCCAAAGTTTGGACTTGGCTTGTTTTGGTTTGGGAGAAGGGCAATTTAGTCCTCACACACCCCCAAAGTTACTGTTTGGGAGTGTGAATAGGGAGAAGGGCAATTTAGTCCTCACACACCCCCAAAGTTACTGTTTGGGAGTGTGAATAGTTAGACCCCTAAGCTCCTCATTGATCCCTCCTCCTCCGTCTCCTCCTCCGCTGCCTCAACCACCTCTTGAACCTAGAGCCTCCGACGCCGCCTCCGCCTCGGCATCACCCTCTCCCTCATCATCTCCCTCTACGATCGCGGAGTCAATCCCGAAGCCCTAGCCGCCTTCGTCCGCGAGCTCTCTTGGTCATCTTCAACTCCAATCTTGGTCATCAAAGGGTAAGCTAGAATCTTCTTTTCCCCTCCTTTTGATTTCTAGTTCAATTTTCATGAAATAAGACTTATCAATAGGCAAAGAGACCAATGGTGCTATGGTTTAAAGACCCCAAAACTTGATTGAAATCTTCGTTCATCTTTCCTGTATGGGGATGATTCATATTAAATTGTGTGATAGATTCATGAAAGTTATTAACTGGCGTGAGTATCAGTAACCCTTTTGATCGAACAATTGAAATCTCTACATTGTGGAACTTTTATTTTCTCAGTCAATACGTCGAGCATCTTTAGGGCATTGGAAATTTCCCCTTTTTCTGACCAGTTTTTGCTTAGAAATGATTCTACGAATTGGGGTTTTCCCCTCCTTTTTCGAGATCCAATTTTGTTGTATAACTATATGACTATTGAGGAATTTATAAACAGTGTTGTTATATTGAAGATACCTTTTATTATTATTATTATTTAGAAAATATCATTTTTGAATAATCTGATTATATGTGTATTCCGTGAAGAAATGCCATGATAACACTTTGTTGGAATATAATGCTAGTTAAAAGAGTAATGCATTGTATGTGACGGACTTATGAATATCTCGATGTCTTATTGTATTCTGCATTTAAACCTGTGTAAAACCCACCTTTAGGCAGCAGTGTAGAAGTTCAAAATTCTCAGTTGGACTATAAGCCTGCAGGAGACATGCACTTGAGAAAGCAAAGGGCTTCTATTAATTTGCTCGAAAATTGACTGAGGATCAGAATGTTTTATACACAAGTCTCTTTTTTCCCCCTACTGTAATGTCTTTCACAAAATAGGCAGCTAGGCTGTTGTATTTTTCTTGTAGACCTACTTTATCTGCTTGTTATCACTATGTTGTTTCATTTTGTCATCTGATATTTTTTTGAATCTTGTAGACCTACTTTATCTGCTTGTTATCACTATGTTGTTTCATTTTGTCATCTGATATTTTTTTGAATCCTCTACAGACACTTTCTCATTTTGTTATCACTATGTTGTTTCATTTTGTCATCTGATATTTTTTTGAATCCTCTACAGACACTTTCTCATTTTGTCTTTTAAGCATGGAGTGTCTAAATCCTATTGTCTAACAAGTTTCTAAATGTAATCATTAAGCATGGAGTGTCTAAATCCTCTACAGACACTTTTCTCATTTTGATTAGGTGATGATACTATGTTTTATAGGGGTTATTATGGAGTAATTAAGTGTAATTGTAGTTTCTTATAGGGGTTATTATGGAATATGTGTGTGCTTTTTCCTTCTTGATGAATTGTTGAAAGTATTATGAAAATTGGTTTTTGGATTACAAGTTCACCAAACTTCTTATAAGTCCCATATATCACTATAATTGTATTATGACAATTGATTTTTTTTTCTTTATCGTTATTTCTTACAAGCTACTATATACAATGTATGGGTCTTTATGGTTATATATGTTCTGTTGCATAAATGAATATGCTTGATTTAACATGTTTACAATGATAGATACATGTATACAATGTATGGTTTAAAATGACGGCCAATTTGGAACTATGATGTGTACTTCTCTGCTGCATTGATAATTTAATGAAGGAGATATACCCATATTAGACACTTATCTGATACTTGAACATGTCAATCTTAATGAACAGATGCTGGTTAAAGCTCTGATGTATCCTAATTTGTATAAGTTTCATTTCATCCTACATGTCCTGATGATATATCATAGATGTATTCGAGAGTAATAAGTTATTTGCCTGATAATGACATGTATGGACCAAATTATGCAGCTTCTCATTACCATCAAATTCCATCTTTTGCTTTTAATACTGTCTACAAATTTCTTTTTAATGTAACTTTACCTTTGACAAAATGTACAAAAGTTTGAGTTCACTATCACTTAGCCTTTTATATTTTAAACTAGTGGTGGACTATTGATTCCAGATGCTACACAGGAAATGCCAGGGGAGATTATGTTTCCAGGTCGAGCGAGGAGCTTGTCGATGTTTGCAGATGCTACACAGGAAATTCCAGTTATTGCGATTGGATCAAGTGGGTTTGGTGTGCATCCAAACATCTAGTTCGAGTACCAGTTCCCTTTATTTGCAATCCTTGAATCCGCAATTTTGGGTTTCGACATTGCACTGATAACGTTGCTAACGAATGCATGCTCTGGAGGTGAATCAGCTGGATATGTTGATCCGATCACTGGTTGAGTTTGTTTGTTGCAGTTTCGTTCCTTTGGTTCTCCCCAATCCTTTGCTCTGTTTTTCAAGAATTTGGACAAAGAACATGAATAATTGTTACTGGTTTGATCAAGAACTAAACTTGGATATTAATTGTATTTAAATGTCATGCAGACTATTATTGTTTCTGACGTAGACTGCTGAATTTACAAATAAAATAGATGAGTGATGTGGACTTACAGATAATGAGTAGATGAGAACCCCTAAAAATTTACAAAATGCCCCCAAAAGTTTGCAAAGAGCCCCCAAAAAGTTTACAAAAAGCCCCCAAAATTTTGCGAAAAGCCCCCTAAAAGTTTACAAAAAACACCACAAAAGTATTATATACACAACCATTATAATTAAATGGGCAAATTGGTGGCCCGTTTATTAAATGGGCGAGCAAAAACCCGCCCATTTAGAAAATGTTAAATGAGCCATAAATGGGTAAATTGATAAAACATGCCCGTCCATTTATGACCCGCCCATTTAATACCCATACCCACCCATTTAACATCTCTAATGCATGTTGATATTCAATTTCCATTAGCATTTTCTGTTAGATTTTATTTGTGGCCCACGTTTTAGTGTAGTGGTCACGTTTTCTTTTTCTCATGTTCTTTTTATTAGTTTAAGAAACCACTCATTAGTTATATAACTACTCACGTTTTAAGAAAAATTCCTATTGGTCAAGATAACTACCCACATTGATGGAAGGTGGGTGATTATGCTATTTAAAGACTTGGTCCTCTCTCTACCCACATATGTGAAAATTTTCTCTCCATCAAAAAAAAAAATCGGAATAGTTTAAGAGGGTTAAGGGAGAGAAACGCAAGTCTTCAAGGTTGTTCATCTTTCTCTTCAAGTTTCAAATCATGGATCAAGGTACGTTTTCTTAATTACTTATTCATAGTGAAAATCATTTGTTCTAAGATCTTGGTATAATGATAATCAAATCAATAATGAAGTTTAGATTGATTTGCTTAAATTAAAAATTAAGGTTACATGTGGTATCAGAGCAATGATTAAAGAACCTATGATTTTCCATCATGACTCTTGTTTCTTGTCAAATAATTCTATTACTATTAATTAAATATTTAAAACTCTCTAATTAAAATTTTTCCGCTGATTATTGAATACTATAAATGTTTTGATAATTTAGTGTTAAATTGACTGAACAATCACTGCAAAATTTGAAACTGTAAAATTCGGATCTAAATGTTCATTCAATATGTATACATATTTTGATTATACTAAATATTTTAGGGAAAATAGCCTAGTGGTAAGGCTTGAGGATTTGGCCTAGAGGTTTGGTGTTCAAATCCCTAGGGCTACACCATATATTAAAAGTCTTTGATGGGCCTTGGGCCTTGGGTCTCTGATTTCTAATGATGTTTTTATTTTGGCTGCATGTTTTAATTTTGTCGCTGCCTATTTGTCTATTTTGCCTACATAATATTTCTGTTTATGTCAATGCACTAATTATGCATGGATTGTTAATCTTCATGGACTGCTTTTTGCGGGCTTATTGTAACATTGTTGTTAAGATTACAATTTGAAATTTAATTTACTCATGGATGGTTTGTTAGTCACCAAAGTGGCCATACCTTGAAGTTTCATGCTTATCAAATTGTTATATATAATTTTTCAATTACTCATGATAAGTGATCATACTAATGAAATGACATAAACGTATATATGTTGTCATGAGTAAATTGAGGTTTATTGATTATAAAATATTTAAGAATCGCCCAAAGGTTGATTGGTAAATTTTATAATCCATAAACATGACTATGGTTAATTAATACATCTGATTAGATATGTTTAGAATATCCAAAGATAGCAAGCATGTCTAATTGGAGTATATAATTACCAACTATATGAAATAAATAAAAAAAACTAAGCATCAATTATGTTCACTGTTGTACATTTATGGATCACCCAATGGAGAACATCGATGTATGTTTATTGTTTAATTTGACTGTTAGTTAAATATGTATTATGTGTTTAAGTTTAAGTTTATAACTCAAAGCATTAATATGCCAGTATTCTATATATTTGCAGCACCTATTTCTCTCCATTCGCAAGCCTCGTCTATTGTAAAGTTCAATGGGCTTAATTTTCATGAATGGAGTGAACAAGTTCAGTTTCACCTAGGTGTTCTGGATCTTGATTCATCACTCCTGTATGACAAGCCCGCTGTTATTACTGATTCTAGCAATGATGATGAAAGATTTTTCCATAATGCTTGGGAAAAATCAAATAGACTTAGCTTAATGTTCATGCGGATGACGATAGCAAACAACATTAAGTCCACAATTCCTAAGAGTGATAAAGCAAAGGAATTCATGAAGTTGGTGGAAGATCTCTCGCAATCTAACTCTGCTGATAAGTCAATTGAAGGGACATTAATGGGTACGTTGACCACCATGAAGTTCGATGGTTCTCGTACCAGGCATGAGCATGTCACTGAAATGACAAACACAACAGCAAGATTGAGATTTATGGGAATGGAAGTGAGTGAAAGTTTCCTTGTACAATTTATCATAAACTCATTGCCTTCTGAGTATGGTCCATTCCAAATAAACTACAATACTATAAAAGATAAGTGGAATGTGACTGAATTGCAAAGTATGCTCATTCAAGAGGAAGCAAGGCTTAAGAAACAAGGAACTCACTCAATTAATCTCATGGGTCATCAAGGAGCTGGAAAGAAACAAGGAAAGTATAATGGAAAGGGCAAGAAAAGAGCACTGAAAGATAATGTGTCACCTGTCCAAGTCCACAAGAAGGAACGAAAGAACAATAAGTGTCATTTCTGCAAAAAGCCTGGACATTATCAGAAAGATTGCCTGAAACGTAAGGCATGGTTCGAAAAGAAAGGTAAACCTCTTGCTTTTGTATGTTTCGAATCAAACCTAACAGAAGTTCCTTATAATACTTGGTGGATTGATTCTGGTTCTACCACTCATGTTTCAAATACGATGCAGGGATTCCTTACGACCCAAACTATAAATCCAAATGAAAATTTCATCTTCATGGGAAATCGAGTCAAAGATTCAGTTGAGGCCATTGGAACCTATCTCTTGTTTTTAGACACTGGACATCATTTAGATCTTTTTCAAACTCTTTATGTTCCTACTGTTTCTCACAACTTAGTTTCTTTGTCTAAACTTGATGTAGTTGGATACTCTTTTAAATTTGAAAATGGATGTTTCAGTTTGTTTAAGCATAATCATCTTATTGGTTCTGGTGTTCTCTCTGATGGTTTATACAAATTAAAGCTTGATAATCTTTTTGCTGAAACTCTATTAACCTTGCATCATAATGTTGGAACTAAACGAAGTTTAGTGGATGAAAGTTCAGCTTATTTGTGTCATAAACATTTGGGACACATTTCCAAAGAAAGAATACAAAAATTGGTAAAGAATAAAATCCTTCCTAATTTGGATTTTACCGATCTTGGTATTTTGTGGATTGTATTAAAGGAAAACATACAAATCATACAATTAAGAAAGCTGCCACAAGAAGCACACAGCTTAAAAACCCTGCCACAAGAAGCACACAGCTCCTTGAAATAATACACACCGATATATGTGGACCTTTTGATGTTCCATCCTTTAATAAAGAAAAATATTTTATCACCTTTATTGATGATTTTTCACGTTATGGATATGTCTATTTGTTCCATAAAAAATCTCAATCAGTAGATGCCCTAGAGGTGTTTATTAATGAGGTTGAAAGACAATTAGACAAAAGAGGTGGTGAATTTTATGGAAAATATAACGAAACGGGACAATGTCATGGTCCATTTGCTAAATTTCTTGAAAAGCGTGGCATACATACTCAGTACACTATGCCAGGTACACTATAACAAAATGGTGTTACAGAAAGGCGTGATCGTACACTAATGGATATGGTTAGGAGTATGTTGAGTTATTCTTCTTTACCCTCATCATTGTGGATGTATGCTTTAAAAACCTCTATGTATTTGTTAAACAGGGTTCCTAGTAAGGCAGTTCCAAAGACTCCTTTTGAACTGTGGACAGAAAGGAAACCCAGTTTGAGACACCTTCATGTTTGGGGTTGTCCTGCGGAAATACGAATTTATAATCCACATGAAAAGAAACTGGACTCAAGAACAACCAGTGGTTTCTTTATTGGTTATCCAGAAAAATCTAAAGGGTATAGATTTTATTGTCCTAGCTATAGTACGAAAATTATTGAAACTGAAAATGTCAGGTTCATTGAGAATGGTGACATTAGTGGGAGTATGGAACCAGGTAAAGTGGAAATCTAAGAAGTTAAAATGAATGTTCCTTTACCTTTAACTTCTTCTCAAGTTGTTGTTCCTACAATTGTTGAACAGTTTAACGACTTTCAAGAACAACAAATAAATGATCAAACACTCCATGAAGACGTTGTTACCAATGAACCTGCAATAGATATACCTCATGAAGAAGTAGCATTAAGAAGGTCTCAAAGACAGAGAAAGCCTGTTATTTCTGACGATTATGTGGTTTATCTACAAGAGTCAGAATTTGACCTTGGAATTGATGAAGATCTGGTTTCATTTTCACAGGCCATGAAAAGTCATAATTCTGATAAATGGTTTGATGCCATGAAAGATGAGTTGAAATCAATGGAGCATAATGAAGTTTGGGATCTTGTAGAATTACCTAAAGGTTGTAAAAGAGTAGGGTGTAAATGGGTCTTTAAGACCAAGCACGACTCAAATGGCAATATCGAACGATATAAGGTCAGACTCGTTGCCAAAGGTTTTACTCAGTAGGACGGCATTGACTATACATAAACATTTTCTCCTATTTCGAAAAAGGATTCATTTAGAATTATTATGGCTTTGGTAGCTCATTATGATTTAGAGTTACATCAAATGGATGTGAAACCGCTTTTCTAAATGGAAATTTAGATGAAGAAGTCTACATAGACCAACCCGAGGGTTTTTTAGTTGAAGGAAAGCAAAACATGGTGTGTAAGCTTAAGAGGTCAATATACGGACTCAAATAGCCTTCCCGACAATGGTATCTTAAGTTTAATGATACTATCACATCTTTTGGATTTAAAGAAAACATCGTTGATCGATGTATATATCAAAAGATTAGTGGGAGCAAGTTTATAATTCTTATTC